AACATGAAAATTCACATGAAGGCTTGAACTAAGGCCGCGGCGGGCGCGCCGAGCGCCACCGACGGCGCCTTGCCGTTTAACGACCGAACCATATATACTCTCGGCAATTCAATTACAACTGAACTTAAACATGATTTACTGGTCATAATAACACATAATGGTCGAAGGTTATAACTTGAAACATGACATGAAACTCGGGTGGCCGTGGTGCGCACTAGGTGTGCGACCACACCCCTCTCGGCCAATGTACTAGTAACATGATTAATTTCCTGAACAATTAAGTTAAACTAAGCATGAAATTGCATATAGAGGCTAAGCATGCAATAATGGTCGGAGAAAAATAACTTAGAACGTGACATGACACGGCTAAGGCTACGCATGCATGCCAATAATGAAATTAACTAAATAAGCATGCTACTCCTTTAAAATGGCTAAATTCACCCGAATACTTAAGTTCAAATAAACATAATTTAGCAAATAAAAGCTAAGTATGCGAGGGTTATTCGGAGAATTCCTTGAAAATAATAACATGATTCGGAGGATTACTCAAAATATGACATGAACGGCACGGCCCACGCACGGCTACGGCCATAGTACGCATGCATGACCACATTAACATTTGATCTTAAGCAAACATGATATTTTCGGATTAATAGCTGTCGGGAACTTACCTCTTATAAAACTCAAGAGGTTAACGACTTGGAACTGCTCTCGGCCGTGACTTCCCGCGTGCGTGCGTTGAGTGTGTTGCTCCTTTGCGTACGTCTCGCGGCTCGCGTACGGTACTCGGTGCTGCTCCCGAACGACTCACACCAATGCGCTCTCTAAATCACTCTATCTCTCGGCACTTTGAACTAAGGGGAAGGGAAAGTAGAGCAATTTTTCCCAAGGCATAATATATAAGACCGAAGGCATATGGTGGGCGGAGAAAATGAGGGAGAGGGACTTGTCTCTGTTGGTGTTATATACTTAAGCTTTGCTTTAGTGGATATTTCACTTGTTATTCCTTGATGAATGAGAATTATGTTTGATTAAAT